CAACGCCCCTTTAAAGCTTATTCGTAATTAATATTAATATCAAATACAACCTCCCAAGTTCATTTCTATTAGACTTCAATGTGTCAGCAGTCAGTTTGTCGTTTGTCATCGAACTGTGAAGTGAAAATGGCTTTATTGAAAGTCCTTGTGTGCTTTATTTGTGGCAGTATTTTGCTCATTTACTGGACCCTAAGCAAGGGATTTTCTTATTTCAGGAAACGTGGAATACTGCACGATAAACCAAACTTCATTTTTGGAAATATGAAGGAAAATAGACGCACCAAAAATATGTATCAAATTATTCAAGAAATCTACACGAAATACAAGAGAACTGAAAAAATTATTGGATTTTTTATATATTTTCAAAAAGTGGTAATATTACTTGATTTAGATCTCATAAAAGATATATGCGTGAAGGATTTTAGAAATTTTACGAATCGTGGAAATTATTATAATAAAAAGGATGATCCAGTTGCAGCACATTTAATAAATTTGGATGGAGTAGACTGGAGAAAACTGCGTACAAAACTGACGCCAACGTTTTCATCTGGAAAAATAAAGTCTACGTTTCCCACTATAGTCGATGTTGCGAACACTTTAGTTGAGGTATTAGAAGATATGCAAAATTCCCCTCTGTACGATACCGATGTGGGTATAGAAATTGAAGATCTTATCTCACATTATACAACTGATGTTATCGGAAGTGTTGCTTTTGGTTTGGACTGTGGAAGTTTAAAAGATCCCAATAGCAAATTCAGTGATATAAGTAAAACAATATTAGATTTTCGTCATAACATAATTATTATGCTACTTGCGAATTTCTTTCCAAAACTGGCTCGGATATTACGAATAAAAACAATACCAGAAGAAGTATCGAAGTTTTTCTTGAATGTTGTGCGTCAAACTGTGACGTTTCGTGAACAAACCGGTACGCAAAGAAATGATTTTCTTAATTTATTAATGGAGTTACGAAAATCGGGTGATTTAACTATGGAAGAAATAACTGCACAAGCTTATGTTTTTTTTGTGGCTGGCCACGATACAAGTGCAAGTACATTAACTTTTTGTTTGTATGAGTTGGCACTTAATCAAGATATTCAAAATAAAGCCAGATCAGAAATAAATGAAGTTCTCTCTGCACACAAAGGTATATTAACGTATGAAGCAATGATAGATATGAAATATTTGCTACAGATAATGTATGGTGAGTATCAGCAAAAATTATATATATCAAAAACAAAAATTTCAAATAAAATATTTTATTTTGTATATCTATTAACTAATATTTAAATAGAAGCAATGCGAAAATACGTAGTGACAGCAGTACTTACGCGGCAAACTGCCGAGGATTATTTCATACCTAATACTGATTACGTTATAGAAAAAGGCATGGTAGTACTTTTACCAGTTGATGCTATACATCATGATCCAGATTTATATCCAAATCCAAAACTCTTCGATCCTGAACGGTTCACAACAGCTGAAATCGAAAAACGGCATCCAATGGCGTATTTAGCTTTTGGAAGGGGACCACGTAATTGTATCGGTTCCAGATTTGGTAAAATGGAAGTTTTGGCGGGACTGTGTTTGTTACTTAAAAACTTTAAGTTTTCGCCTACAAAGAAAACCCAAATTCCTATAAAATTTTCAATGTTTAAATTATTACGCGCTTCTGAAGAAGGAGTGTATTTAAAAGTTGAAAAATTGTAACCAAATTCAAGAAGAAATCATCATTTACGTAAAAAATATTTGATATTATGACGAACTAAGTTAAATATAAAGCAATAAACAGTGGAGTACAGAACCCACAATGATTTTCTTTGCTTAAGTAAAAGTTGGAAATATTTTACTTTAAATCTTGTATTTAGTTTTTTATATGTAAATTAGTAAACAATTTTATAATTCTTTTTTATATATTAATAAAAATAGTTAATTTAGTAGATAATGTGTATTATAAAAATCTTAAAAAGGGAATGGAGGAAATAAATACATAATCTTATTGCAAATTTTCAGTTCAACGCAGTTTTTAATTTCAAAATACCGCATGAATATTTACCTCAAATAAATAACAGTAATAGGATACTCCTCCCACAAGCGCTAAGTACATATCTGAAGTTCCTGATTTATTTCTTCTTTTAAGGAGAGATTAAACATAAATTAATACAGTTTTTAAACCAACATTTTTCACAAAGAAATCATATGATTCTCGCTAATCCTAGAAGAGGACAGTGGACAGAGGACAGTGGACAAAGGACAGTGTACAATATATACAACATACGATTACCAGCGGGCTTGATTTTTCACGATTTGATAGTGTGTCAAATTGTGGATTCCTTTAAGTAAGTATAAATATTACCAAAGTTATAGTAATATAGATTGTGAACGATTTAGAATCAAACCGAGTACTGATTCGATGAAAGCGTTAGAGAGATAAACTGTTTCCAAAATAAGAAAAATCTCGTTTATTTTACGAGGAGCGCGAAAGCTTTTTTCATTGGTTTTTAGTTAAAACATTAAGCTTCGCTGAATTCGAAACATCATAAAGTTCGCATAAGTTAACAAAAAAAAAACGGTAATGTCTTGTAAATCTATAAGTCGAGTAGAAATTTATAACTCTCTTGATTGGGCTTGATTTTATGTATGTTCTACAGATGTTCTAAACATCTGTGTCTAAATGTATGTTTTAAACACACAAGGCTAACGATTCTTTGTCTCCGTGTAATGATTGATGGTGTCCATGTTTCTTGAAGGTGTGCAGATTCCACAATTAAAGAGTGTAGCTTAGACCAGATAAAGATTTAAAACAAAAAGATGTATGTGATTAAATTAAACTTATTTTCTTCTTTTCATTAAATTTGTGTCGAATTTTCTCTATATCATACAAATGATAAAAATTCGAAATATTTTTATTCCGCAAAATTATTCAAAATGATGTTGTGGTGAATAATTTACTGTAATAAACACTTTGCTAAGCGTGCGTTTAAGATAAAAAGTATCTACAATAAATAACAGATGCGAGGCTTAACAAAAGCGTTCCCTACACATTACATTGAAGAATGATTCAACCAGTGAAGTACATGTGAGTATAGAACAGTAGAAGACGCTGATAAAGTCATGAACTGTGAAGTGTGTTGCTGCCCCAGTTTGTTGCACTTATATTAAGCGCAGATAATGTAGTCAACACGATGGCATATATAAATAAAAGCGGAAAGTATTTACTTATATGAGACTAATGCTAACAAATATGCTTCAAGATAATTAAACGATTTTTGTATGAGTGACATACGAAATACGAGGGATCTGTTAAAAGTTTTAAGTACAAAAGTATTTGTTAAGTTTGATGAATAATGCTTTAAAATAAAACTTTACAAATAATAAACTATTACATTTGTTAAAATTATGTGTAATAATATTTTTCATCAATTGACGTTATGATAAAATTTTGTTTGTAAAATAAAATAAATAATTAGTCATAATTATTCACCTAAACAGTATAATCACTCTCGAAAAGAGTATAGGACATCATCATACGCAAAAGAATTGAAGGGAAAGAAGATTGATATGAAACGTGGTTATTCACCTATTATTCACCTAAACAGTATAATCAGTCTCGAAAAGAGTATAGGACATCATCATACGTTAAAGAATTGAAGGGAAAGAAGATTGATATGAAACGTGGATATATAAGTTTAGTTACTGAAAAGCATTCTGTATCGATAAAACCTATTTAGTTTAAATGTCATACCAAATTTAACAGAAATTTATGCAATAGACAAAAAATCTTAAATGCAGTTTTGAAATAAAAAGCTGATGATATAAATTATAAATTAACGGAAATTATATTCTATTATAGTAAACACCTAAAAGCACTATAGATAAGCAACATCATCAGTTAGATCTTTCTAAAGCAAATATAAATTGACTGTTATTTTACTTTGATATGACTAAAGAACAATGAGACTATAACAATATGTTAACTATGGCAATTGATTTTTTGCGGCTTGCTTGAGAAGAGAATCAAAATAAGGTCAAGAGGTAGCTGAACTAAATAACTTTGTGAATAATTAAATCTTCTATGTTTCTGTTTTTGGTGTATATATTTGATACCAGAATATAATCATATCAGATCTACTAGCTGCTTCGAAGCCCAGCATTCAGTTTTTTTAACGCTCGTATAAATTCACATCTATCATTAATTATAATTTAAAACTGATTAAAATAGGTACTAGTGCATGTTATGATATGTTAGATAAAAACTTGTAAGGGTTTTATTTTAAACACCATTCATGTATAGCCTAAAGTAAGCAGGATATATCTTACTTTTACCTTGTTTTTGTTTATTTAATATGTAAAATTATAAAAAAATATATATATAAACATGTAATTATACTTTACGTAAAAGTGATATTTAAACTTTAGCTTGAATTGTAATGACCAATAGTTACTCTAACTATAGCTGCAACGCCTTTTGTCAAGCCTAAATGGTAATTAATATTAATATTAAGTTCTACAAGTGGCAGTTGTCAAATACAATCTCTCAAGTTTATTTCTATTAGACTTCAATATGTCAGCAGTCAGTTTATCGTTTGTCATCGAACTGTGAAGTGAAAATGGCTTTATTGGAGATCCTTGTGTGCTTTATTTGTGGCAGCATTTTGCTAATTTACTGGATCCTAAGCAAGCAATTTTCTTATTTTAGAGAACGTGGGATATTGCACGATAAACCAAACTTCATTTTTGGTAATATCAAAGAATATAAGCGCACCAAAAATATATATCAAATTCTTCAGGAATATTACGTGAAATACAAGGGGACTGAAAAAATTTTTGGATTTTTTTTATATTTTCAAAAAGTGGTAGTATTACTTGATTTGGATTTAATTAAGGATATATGTGTGAAGGATTTTGGAAATTTTACGAGTCGTGGAAATTATTATAATAAAAAGGATGATCCAGTTGCAGCACATCTATTCAATTTGGATGGAGTGGACTGGAGAAAAATGCGTACAAAACTAACGCCAACGTTTTCATCTGGAAAAATAAAGTCTACGTTTCCCACTATAGTCGATGTTGCGAACACTTTAGTTGAGGTATTAGGAGATATGCAAAATTCCCCTCTGTACGATATCGATGTGGGTATAGAAATTGAAGATCTTATCTCACATTACACAACTGATGTTATCGGAAGTGTTGCGTTTGGTTTGGACTGTGGGACTTTAAAAGATCCCAATAGCACATTCAGTGACATAATTAAAAAAGCATTAAATTTTCGTCATAACATGATAACGGTGTTACTTGCATATATATTTCCAAAAGTGGCTCGGAAATTACGACTAAAAACACTAACAGGAGAAGTATCGAAGTTTTTCTTGAATCTTGTGCGTCAAACTGTGACGTTTCGTGAACAAACCGGTACGCAAAGAAATGATTTTCTTAATTTATTAATGGAGTTACGAAAATCGGGTGATTTAACTATGGAAGAAATAACTGCACAAGCTTATGTTTTTTTTGTGGCTGGCCACGATACAGGTTCAAGTACATTAACTTTTTGTTTGTATGAGTTGGCACTTAATCAAGATATTCAAAATAAAGCCAGATCAGAAATAAATGAAGTTCTCTCTGCACACAAAGGTGTATTAACGTATGAAGCAATGGCAGATATGAAATATTTGCTACAGATAATGTATGGTGAGTATTTAGGAAAAGGATATATGAAGAATTAATGTTCAAAATTATTTTTAATTAATTCAATTAAAAATGCTTTTGTATGAATCTATATACTTATATTTATATAGAAACAACGCGAAAACATGCACCGACAGTATTTATTGCGCGACAAACTGCCGAGGACTATTTCGTACCTAATACGGATTACGTTATAGAAAAAGGCATGACGGTACTTTTACCAGTTGATGCTATACATCATGATCCAGATTTATATCCAAATCCAAAACTCTTCGACCCTGAACGGTTCACAGCAGCTGAAATCCAAAAACGGCATCCAATGGCATATTTAGCTTTCGGAAGGGGACCACGTAATTGTATCGGTTCCAGATTTGGCAAAATGATAGTTTTGGCGGGACTGTGTTTGTTACTTAAAAACTTTAAGTTTTCGGCTACAAAGAAAACCCAAATACCTATAAAATCATCAATGTTTACATTATTACGCGCTTCTGAAGAAGGAGTGTATTTAAAAGTTGAAAAATTATAACCGGCTTCAAAAAGATATCGTTATTTATGTAGCAAATATTTGGTAAATATGACAAACTAAGTTAAAAATAATGTAATTGTGGAGTATATAATCTTCAACGATTTTCTTCGCTAAAGTGAAGGTTGGAAATATTTTATATTAGATCTTTTATTTAGTTGTTTAAAGGTAGGGAAACGTATTTTTTTTATTTACGGAATATGCGTATATTGGTATATACTTTGACAGTCGCCATGACTTAAATTAAGGAAAAGCAATTGGATGTTATTAAAATTTTTTTCTTTTTCTTTAGACGTCGTTCTCAGTAAATATATTGTATTACCAAATTTTAAGATTTGACTTAAAAGCTAAAATTTTTCGCGAAATTAAGAACTGATACGAGTATAGCCGAATATTAATATTCATTTTTTAAAGTCGTCAAGTTATTTCTTGATATAATAATGCAATATATTATTAAAATAATTAAGAAAGGAGTATCGTTTATAAAAATTTATATATAAAGAAATATAAATAAATTGTATTGTTGAGAAAAATATATTGAATTAATACAAAATCGATTGTTTGGTGAAAAACTTTTTAAGCTTTCTTCGTACATATCTATGATATGCTTCTTCTTTGTTTTATAACATGAAAAAAACTTTTTAATTTATATAAAAAATTGCTAATTATATTACTGGAATTGTACATTAAGTTAGGTTATAATTTAAAATATATGTGGAATTATATTATTTGCTTACTGAAATCACATCATTTAGTTCATAGGAAGTACCATATTATGAATTATTTTCTATATTAAATTAACAAATAATTATCGGAATAGTTAAGTACTATATTTATTGAATTCATTTATAATTGGATTTTCTAAGCAACTTATTAATATTATTGGAGTCTGTTCGTTTTCATATTAGACGTATATAATATATGTAGTATGATTAACAATATAGTGACAGCAGTTATTTACAGTCTTACGTTTTCCCGCACACTTAAGTAGTTCAAATACTTGAATAACTTTTATGTAAACTTTCTGTGATAAATTATCAACTGCCATGGTGCTCTACTGGCACTGGCATTACTGGAAATTACAAAAATTACTTTAGCTTTTCGGTCACTGTATATATGTCACGTGATAAATTGTGTAAGTAAATTAAGACTTCTGCTTCTCTATATTTATACAAGTATTTATGTATGTTGAGATATGCTATGTTTTATTTTTTTCATTAATATTTAGTATTTACAAGGCAAATAAGTGGAAATAACTTTTGTATTATATACAATCTACACATGTTTTTTTATTACTATGGAGCACGCATCTCACATTGGACATCATAAGGCACTATAATCGAACTCTATGTTATGCGCCACTTCTTCACTTTTGCTCTACTCTAGTATGCTTTATGGTTCAGTGTCGTGTTTATGTCAATTCAATGCTGTCAACTTGATTATTGCATGACACTTTGATGAAATGCCTTTTATGCTGGCTTTAATGATTATTTTGTACTATTATTACTACTATTATTATAGCGCATTTGTTGTTCCCTGTTTAGCTGATGTTCTTCTCTTTGTTAAATAGCAAATTTCTTCATTTGCGATAATTGAAAAAAAGTGGAGTATTTGGGTTACTTTTTGGACATTGATTAATATGTTGGTAATTTGTCATTTATATTTGTTAGACCGAAACCAACTACAATAATTTGTACTTTAAAGATTTCATCTCATATGATTTGAAAGTAAAGTAAACAAGTAAACAAAATTTGTTCTGGCTTTGACGAACTTCATACAGAACTGTTAAGTATTAACTAACAAGAAATCAAAAGATTAGAATCAAGTTTAAAACCAAATATTTACATTGACTATTAGCTAGCTTTATTTTTCATTAAAAATTACGTTCATGACTGCAATATCGTTGACAACTACTTGCCAGGTATGTTATAAAAAAGCATTCGATTTGGATTCTGCTTTGTAATAAACATATTTTTTAATCAATACTGACAAAAGAAAAACTTTTTTTCAATGTTTATTTTTATCTGAACTAACAAATTTAGTTATATTTTCAATAAAAATAAGTTTCGAAGAGGTTTGAGAGAGGGATTCTCATTTTGGGGCTTACTTTCCTACAGACCAAAAGCCAATAATTACAGCAGTCAGTCTTGGACATAACTACAGTTTCTGTTAATCAGCAATAAAAGAGTAAAAACAAAATGAATTTATAGAGTAGTGAGAGAATAAATAGTATAAGGATACTTTTCTTAGATGTATAAAAAAGTAATAAAATTTTTTTACACATATGTGCTGGATTAATTAGTTCTGGTGTGATGGACAGTTCTGAAGTCCAATCACACCATGTACTCTGTGGAGTACATGACTTCACTTTGAAGTCACTCGAACAACAAAATTATCGTACAGACCTATCGATAGATATAATGCTAATATACTATAGCTCATAATAAAGTGAATACCTAAAAAAGTTTTTTGTATTATCGCCTGTGTATATGTAGACATATATATAGAGATTGTGATGTGTTAATGTTTGGAAACAAAAAGAAATCATTGGATGTCAGACCTATAAGTAGGATAACCCATTAATTCGACATTTCGAGTATAAAAACCATCTTTTGTTTAAGCTGATGTGTGAGAGATCGTATTGTCTTGGTGAAGGATGATCTTTCTTCAGCTATTTGTTTTCCTCAATTCTCGGATGACTTCCGACAAATAAATAGTTGTGTATCACTCAGAATTAAACGTTCTACGTTGTTCAAGTGGTGCAATTACGACATGATATGACAGTTGCATTGTGCACAACTTATCGACAACTTTTGTCGGGTTCTAGTGATTATGGAAGACGCAAACTGTGAATTGCTCGTTTTGCTCTAGTTCGGCAGTATTTTTTGAGCATTACCTTTGTTATACTAAATTCTTTTATTCTACAGCACTATTTTACATAAGATATTTATAAAAAAATATTTTTAAACAATTCATAACAAGCTATTTTTGATGGAACTATAACTTGGGGACCATATAGCCTATATAAATACGTTCAAGCACCAGAATGTAGTAATTATCTATTAATATAACATTTGATATTATTCGATGATATACGTTTTTGTTGAGTTAAGTTCTTTAAAAAAAATACGAATAAAGATAGTCCATTTTTCTAAACATAAATAATTCTAAACCTAAAGTAATTACAACTTAAACTATGTATGTTTACATTACGTCAGTTAACGTATTTACGAAATTAATTTTTAATTTAAGTAATTAATTTGCTAATTGCGTAGCCATTCGTCACGTTTCTCAAGCAAATATATTCCCAATATATTTTGGGAATATAACCGACTTCAATTAAACAAATTTTGTCCCGAAACATTCAATATATAGAAAACGTATAGTCCAACTCGTTGCTTAGTTCAATTAAAGTATAAAATTGCAGATGCTGGAACTTCTGTCCGCTCGAAGGGCATCTTCGCAGCCGGTTGTTATTTAATATAGAACTTAACTTGTCAATATATAACTTTACTTTGAATTTTAATTGAGATCCGCTAATTGTAAAGTGTAAACAGTGTATCAGTGATAAATTTATTTTTAAAAATAATTTTTTAGTATGTAAAATAATTCTTTTTTTTATGATTTTTTAAAACCTTTCCTTTTGAAACATAAATACACAGAACATAGAATAAACAAACACAGCCATATTATAAAGAAAATAAGAGACAAAAAAAGCTTAAGTGAGGTTATGTACACATAATCTTAAATGTCAAGCACCGCAAGCACTCCACTTCCATCGTACTCCACTTTATACATTACTTTGGAAAGTGCTCCCATGTTTGCATGCACTGTACACTGCGTGTTAAAAGTGTTTACATTTTTATCTTTTTATGCTGTAAGTGAAGCATATTCCTTATGTAAACATTTGTTGGTTTAAGACACATTTTTACAATTTCTTCTCGGTAGTCTAGCACTCTAGTATGTGAGAAAGCATACCAAACAAGAGTTTTTAAATTTTTCATTATATTTATTCAGTTCTATTTATGAGAGAGTTTGTTTTAGCAGCAGTTAAGGTTTGTTTTAACGCTACTACGAACACTTAGACACAATGTATCCTCAGTGCTTGCTCTGTCGTTTCATATTAATTCATATGCATTTGAGGTGTTTTAAGACCTTGTTAAAAGAAGGGGATTTGTATGCATCCGGAGCAAGGTATAAAACAACAAAATGTATATACTAGGAAGCTAATTATTCAGTTTTATTTAGTACCAAATAAAATTTATGAATGCACTTCTGCGTAGCATACTTAGGTTTTTAAATAAGTAATTAATATTTTTTATTTATATTTCAATACTTATTTTGATCATTTTAATATTAATGCATTTTACAAAATTATTATTTATTATCAATTATCACTATTAGATATATTTTATTTAATTATGGCAAATTAAAATATATTTTTTGACATACGACTTTTGCTGGAACAGTTTATTTGAAGTGAAATTGATTATTCTACTTTAAAACGATTTTGTTTAGAAGGATCTATTACTTTAATGATAAAGGAACATATTGTTGACTTATAACTCCCAATAAGACAAGCTTTAAGAATCATATTGTTGTACTGACATCGAAAACATTGCTTAGGCATTATCTTAAAATGCTTAAATTTTTAATTAATGAATATTTTTTCTACTTTGTGGAGATTGTCTCCCATTTTTTATCCAAACAATTTATATAATTAAAATTATTAATTAGGTAACTTCATTACTCTATATAATTAGTTTTCAGAGTAGTTGTTAATGTATAGATTTCCTTGCAATTAAAAGTAATTAATGCTTGCATCTAAGTATATAGCTTTACTTCACAAGTAAAAAAAAAATTATTATTACTCAATTATATTATTATAAATAAACTGAACGGAAATGTCAAAGTCTGAAACATAATCAGTCACTTTTTTAATAACCTTCGGAATATAATTAATTATACACAGTAATATTAGTCTTAATTCAGCAAGTGATCAATATTGACTCAAGAAAGAAATATTTTTCAGGTTTTACAGCTTTTATTTTATGAACGAATATAACTTCAAATATATAGATGAAACTAAATATATGTATATCTGGGCTATTTATAACAAGAAACTAAATTCCAGAAAATTGCTAATTAAGTTAAGAATCTTCTCTTAGGAACTATGTCAACATATGCAAAATATCATTTAACATTAAAGAGGCCTTTATAGAAGATTCATACCAAAATATTTTTTGAAAATATGCCTTCTGTTTTTGGTTTTTTAGTGCTG